TGTGCACGCGCGCATGGTGCTGGAGAAGCGGCTGAGGGCCTACACCACCTTCTGGATCCAGGACATCGCCACGCTTGACGAGGATGGTAACAAGGCCCACTGGCTAAGGCTCTGCGTCTCCTACGTGGCCGACCTGCTGGCGCACGGCACGTGGCTGCCGCTTGTCACCGAGACGGCGCGCTCCCTCGACATCGACAACCTCGGCGTGGCCAGGCTGAAGATGGCCCAGGACCTCTGCGAGTCGGCTTGGTCGGCCAGGAAGCGCATCAGAGCCCGCTACCACGCCAACATGATGCGGCTGGCAGTGCAGGACCCTGACGAGTGGGGCGCGCAGGCGGCGCGGCACGCGCAGTCCATGTTCAGCGCGGAGGAGCAGTTCGACGAGACGCCTGCCAGGCGCGCCGCGGTGGCCTCAGCTGGTGTCGCCGACGCTGCCTCAGTCCCTCCGTTGGCGACGGCGGTCTGCCCAGAGTTGGCGTCAGGACCCGCTGTTCAGCGGTCGACGTTGCCAAGCTTTGCCGAGCTCGGAGTCAGAACCCCCTGGCCAGCGGTCGTGTCGCCACATGCTGAGCTCGAAAGGTCAGGACCCGCTGGCCAGGGGTCTACGTCGCCTGTTTCTGCTGTGCTCGAGAGGTCAGGACCCGCTGGGCAGCGGCCAGCGTCGCCACGCCATGGACGAGCAACAGTGCAGATGGACCATGGACCGAATCCCATGGAAGGCAAGCAGTCATCCATCAAGCTCACGCTGAAAGAGCGAGGGTATCTAGCATCCGTTGTCACCGACGGCCAGTGGTGCCAGAGCCGCAAGTACGAGAAGGGCATGGCCTCGGACGACTCGTGCTTGCTGTGCGGCGAGGTCGGCACCCTGCTCCACAGGCACTGCGGCAGCTGCGCGGGTTGGCCGCCAGAGCTGAGGCTGCCCGACAAGATGCGCGAGCTGGCGGCGAGGTCGGACTTGCCCGAAGTGCGCTGCCTGCTGGAGCGCGTGCTGTGGGCGGCGCCGACTGGCATCGTCAAGCCAGCCCCGTCGCCGCACGTCTGCTGGCTGGGCGAGAGCGACGGCTTCTTCCCCTCTGGCGAGCTCTACCTGGACGGCTCGCAGTACGAGGGCGACTTCGAGCAGTACGCGAGCGTCGCCTGGGCCGTCATCGCGCTCGAGGCCGACGCCGACGCCTTCCTGTGCGGGGCGTCGGGGATGCTGTGCGAGCCCCACGTCGACATCAACGGCGGTGAGCTCATGGCGCTCCTGATGGTCCTCAGGTTCGCGGTGCCGCCCGTCACCGTCGTCGTGGACAGCGGCTTCGTGCACCGCGGCCTGCTGGAGCTGGGCCCGAGGCGCACCACCGCGCACGGCGCGGCGTGGGCCCACCTCTGGAGGGAGGTTTGGGCCAAGCTGGAGGACTTCGGCGGCCTGGGCGACGGCGGGCTGAAGGTCAGGAAGGTCCCCGCCCACCAGTCGCAGAGGGAGATGGTCGCCCACGGGAAGATCTCGCACCGCGACTGGCTGGGCAACGGCATGGCGGACAAGGCCGCCAAGTCGGCGGCGGCGGCAGGACGGATCCGCCAGCAGGATCGCAGGAGGCTCGTCATGGCCGACAAGCTGGTCGAGGGCGTCGCGCTCTGGGTCTCGGCGGTGGGCGGCGCGCTGGACGGCAGGGACACCACCCACCGCGCGGCGAAGCCGCAGCGCCCCGCGCCGAAGGCGCTGCTGGCGCAGCCGGCCGCCAGGCTCTCCTGTGCCTGGCGCGGGGAGCCTGGCAAGCGGTGGTGCAGCCGCTGCCGCTGGGTGGAGCGCTCAGGCGAGTGCCCAGGCACCATCGTGCCAGCGGCGCTCCAGCACAACGCCGAGCTGGCCGCCAGGGGGCTCAGCACGCACGTGCTCGTGCGCATCGAGCCCGAGCGTGACGTCGAGCTGCGCCGCGACATGCCGCTGGTCGCGTGCGCCGCCTGCGGAGCCTTGGGGGCGGCCAGGGCCTCCAGCTTCGCGCCGCCGTGCGGCCGCGCGTCGGCCAAGGGGCTGCTGGCCGTGGCGCGCCTGGAGAGGCGGCTCGCCCCAGCGATCTCGGGCAAGGTCGCGGTGGCCATCAACCCGCTCAGGAGTGAAGGGTGACGGCCAGCTTCCCCTCCTCCTGGCGCGGCGGGCCGACGGCCTGTGTGGCCCGTGAGGCCGTCGCGCTGGCGGCACGCCGAGCCCGAGGGGCCGTGGCGTGCGGGCGCTCGCTGAGAGCGCGAGCCCGTCGCGCGTGGGGCGCGCGGCGTGCGCGGGCGGCGGGTCACACGCGCCGCCTGAGGCTCGTGCATCCTCGTTCCTCCTCCTCACTCCCCCTCCTTTTCCTTCCCCTCCTCCTCCCTCATTCCTCCTCCTCCTCCTTCTCCTCCTCCTCCTCCAGCGGCACCATATCCACGGCAGCGCCCCGCCGCGTCGGCGCGGCGGCGGCCCCTGGCGCGGGCCTCCGAGGAAGGGAGCGCCCCCGGTGGGCCCGGCCTGGGCTGGCGTCGAGCGAGCTGCGCCGTCGGGGGGCCGCGGTCGTTCGCGGTCTTCGGCGACGAGGATCAAGTGGGGCGTGTCCCTCTACAGGAGGAGTATTCGGGAATAGTCACACAAAAGAGTATGGGGACTATGGTTCGAGCACTTGTTTCACCACTTTGGAGCACTGCTTGACTATTCTTTGTTTGTCCTTCAACATCTGCCTGTAGGGGGGCATGCCCGACCTAAGACGAGGAGGACGACGACCCAGGCACCCTCGCGCTTGCCGTCGTCATCTTTCGAAGAAGGACAAACCACATAAACATAAACTGTTGGCGCTCCGCGCGGATTTCTTGGATCCGCGCCTGGCCCCCCCGGCGGCGCCTCCGGCGCCGCCCCTGGCGCGCTCTGCGCGCGAGGAAGGGGGTCAAGCGCGAACCCAAGAAATCCGCGCGGAGCGGCAATGTTTTTGCTCATTCGTATCATTGCCTCAAGTCGGGCCTGTCCCTCTACAGGGGGAATATTCGAAAATAGTTCAAAGTAGTCTGGGGACGATGTGTTCTATTTTTTGGTTTGGCTATGTTTGGACATTGTTTGACTATCTTTCCTTCAAAACCCGCCTGGAGGGGGACACGCCCGACTCAACGCTTGCCGTCGTCATCTTATTCATTGTTTTGCCGATCGGCGCGGGCCCTCTCCCCCCCCCATCCCCCATGGAGTAGATCTTGTCTGCTTGTGGCGCCTGTTTCAAGCAGGTGGAGCCTCCTCCCCCATGGGACGTACTGTTGCAAGCAGTCGCACTAAGCCCTCCTTCCGCCCAATGTCGAAACGCCGACTGAGAAACCGTTCAGCTGCGAAAAAATTACGACGGGAGGTTTTTCGCTATTTTCAGCCTCTCGGGGCCCTTGCTGAGCCCCGGGGTCGTCGAAAATTGGTCCCAAGAAGCAGGTCCAGACTTTTGGGGGTCGACTTCGGGGAAAAAACACGACGTCGGGGGTCTGGGGGCGGGATCCTCGACGACGACGACGGCGATCTTTCGCAGGTGACGGCGACGTCCTCGGCGACAGCGGCGGCGCCGTCGACCTCGACGACCACGACGACCACGACGAAGACGTCCCCGCCCTCTGCACGACAACGCAAGTACGCCGGCAGGTCCTCCTGCTGCAGCACCTCGGCCAACCTCCTGCAGCGGCAGAAGGTTGGTGTCGAAAGAGGTGCGCCGTCGGGAGGCCGCGATCGTTCCGGCTGAAACGATCCACGCGGTGTCAGAAACCCTCCAGCGAGGGGGCCCACGAGTCTCAGGTCGGGCATGCTCCCTTACAGGCGGATTTTGGACGACAAATACAAGTAGTCAAACCATATTACAAAATAGTTTCAAAAATAACATAGAAAAATCGTCCCCATAGTATTTTTCACTATTTTTGAATATTCCTCCTGTAGATGGACGCGCCCGACTGAATACGAGTCCACCATGTCTCCCTGAGCTGGGGATGGGAGGTGTCTCGAACGAGAGGGAGGGGCCAAAAACCACCAGGAGGACCCTCCCTATGGCGCCCCGCGCTGGTGGTTGTGGTGTTGCGTTGCTTCGGTTCTTACGTGGAGGATTAAATCGGGCCTGTCCCTCCACAGGGGGAATATTCAAAAATAGTCTAAAAATAGTCTGGGGCGATTTTTGTTACTAAGTTTGAGCATTTTGGGAGTGTTTTAGCTTTTATATATATATATATATATATATATATATATATATATATATATATATAATCGCCCAAACTCGGCCTGTAGGGGGACATGCCCGACCTGATCCTACGCGGAGGAGTGCGGGAAAGTCGTGAACCTCCGGTTCAAGGCCACCCGGGCCGACGCCACCATGCTCTGGACGCCCGAAATGGGTACCGAAAGAATGGGTACGATGCCCAACAGCAGTTCCTGTTCATTTTGAACAGGATTCGCTGTCCACGCCGCCGCGGCCTGTGTCCATTCGAGACAGAAGGCCGCCTGCCCAACAGCGGCCGCTGTTGGTTCGGGACAACATTTGTTGTTGGGCATGTTGCCCATTCTTTCGGTACCCATTTCGGGTGTCCAAACATGCGGCTTTCGGGGACCCCCACGTCGTTCGAAGGAGGAGGAGTTGCATGAGAATACAATGCGTCGAAGCTCCGCGCGAATTCCGGTGCCTGGGCTCCCCCTGCCTCCGGCTCCGCAGAGCAGTCTGGGGCCCCCAAACGGGGTGGTGACCACACCGAGTGGTGAGTCGGTGGGGATTCGGGGTCCTTGTACGGTTTTGGGACCCGGGCCGTTCTCCGATGACGTCGCGGGCGACTGGGGCCTCCAGGGTCCCCCCAGGCCGTGCGGTGACGGACCGAGTGGTGAGGCCTCTTGGGGATTTCGAGGCCACCACCGCGTCTGTCACCACGATGATCACACCAGTTCTGTTCCTTACCTGCAGCTGGTCTAGCTGGCGCCTCAGTGGGAAATTTGTTCATATTTTGTTGATAGTTCTGTTGGTTCCGTTTTCGACCTGTCTGCGCCGGAGGAGTGCGGAAAAGTCGTGAACCTCCTGCGGTTCAAGGCCACCCGGGCCGACGCCACTCTGCGGTATTGCGCCCTGAACACCCACATGAGCTTCAGCGGCACCGCGGAGGAGCGGCTGCGGATCCTGGAGGACAGGGCCGCGGGGCGGTGCGGCGGTCCCCGGGCGGTGCCTTGTGCTCCTCCTCTTCCTCGTCCCCCCTCCTGTGGACGACGATCAATGGAGAGGAAGCATGTTGCCAAATAATTTCCAGATGTCTGACATATGTTTTGAACATGGCGTAAAACACTCAAAGGCATGGTTTATAGTGTTTAGAACATGTTACAACCATTTTAAACACATGTTTAATTAGATGGGTAGACTGTTAGGATGTCCATTGTCATGGCATCCACAACCCTCCTGCTGTCTCCTCCTTCCTCACCCCTCCTTCTCCATCCCCCCTCCTCCCTCCTGCCCCCTCCTCCACTCGCTCCTCCGTCCTACACGAAACAACCCTCACGACAGCATGACTCAACAAACGGAGCGAAGTCATGTGTACAAACCTGCGCGAAACATGTGCCTCCAATCCCGCCGCCGAGCTGATGTAGCTGCTTTTACATTCTTTTGGAGCCTAGGTTGGACAATTTTCACATAGTAACAGTCAACAAACCTTCTGGCAAGTGGTTGAAGATCTTGATCATCTCTCCTCCTCCTTCTTCCCCCCTCTGCCTCTCGCCGTGAACATCAACTACGTGCGGAGTTCCGCATGGATTTCTTGGATCGTCGCTGTGGCCCCCCTGGCGGCGCCTCGGGCGACGCCTCGGGCGCCGCCCCTGGCGCACTCCGCACGCCAGGGAGGAGGGTGCGGCGCAGATCCACGAATTCCGCGTGGGCCTCCGAAAGTTTATAGGTGGGCTCCGGCTTGTCTATTGAGGAGATCGTCGCGGTTTGTTCTTGACACTTTTCTGCCTCCAGGGGCCTTCGCTGGAGAAGAAGCAGTCCCGGGGAAGGTGCCCACATCTTTTGGGCCGACGTTGCGAAACAAGTGCGGCGTCGGAGTTTTCGGTCCTCCTAGTCCTCCTCCTCCTCCTCCTCCTCCTCTTCGTCCCCTCCTTATCGTTGCGAGGCCACTCTTCTTCGCCACGCCTCTCGAGAGATCGTCGATGCGATGGGGCTCCCCACTGCAGCCGTGGTTGGTCGGAATGATGGGTGGAATGGGCAGGAGGGAGAACAGGGAGGACGGGATACAGTCAGTGGAATACAAACAGTTTGGATTCATGGGGTGCAGTTTGTTGAGTGTTTTGTTTGTATCCTCGAGAGCCGCGCTAGGGATGGCGAATGACATTCAGAGGAGGAAAAAGGTACCCATACCTCTACCCTTCGCCCGTTTTCCCCTTTTTGGGCCTCCTGGGAAGCCCGCGTCGCCACCGCTGGATTCGCCTCGAAATCCTAGCCAGAACGCACCCGGGGAGAGGTCCGGGGAGTGTCGGGCAGGCCTCGAAGCGTCCTGACCTGCTTCAGGCACGCCAGGCCCACCGCTAAAATGCTCCGAGAGTTTCGTGCGTGTCGTACGACGTGCTATACGAAAATGTTCAGTTGAGCTGGCATTGCTTTCGTGAGTTGGCCTCTTGTGATGCGAGCATGAGCTACGTTCTTGGACCATCCTCTCGTTATGGAGGCGTTCCATGGTACACCTTAGGCGATGCTTAAGAAAACCTAAGTTTTCGTCCAGAGTCTTGATTATTCTTAACCTTCCAATGTCAATCCCAAGATTTTGATAGAAGTTCTGGGTTTTATTCAATTTCTGAGACTGTGAATTTCTTAACCCATGATTTCTTAACCATTTCGCAGGGTGTAGGAGTATGGGAATACCAGGACGATCGCTCCCTTCTCAAGCCAGGGACGGCTGAGGATGGGGTCGAGCGATGCAGCGGCAGCCAGGACACGGGGCCGAGCCTTTTGGACCATCCGCCACTGCATGCGGAGTTGGGCCATCTGACAACATATTTCAACGGCACCGTAACGGGTACTTACTAACGGGTACTTTGAAAGTTTGCCGAAAGTTGCCACTTTAGGGCCTTTTTCTTGCATTGCAGCTTTGCCCACATCGGGAAGGGTTGGGTTCGCTGGGTCACTGGCCAAAGTACCCGTTAGTGGAGTCCCCGTTTGAGGGGCGCTGAATATTCAATATATTACGCCGTTTAATAGGCCAGTTTCAATACAGCCATTTTGACGATCCAATAGGTGGGTCGAATATCTTTGTTAGACGATCTAATCGGTGGGTCGAATATCTTTGTTGCCATCTTCCGCGGGCCATTTGAGCCCGGGAGTTTGCCAGGCGTGGAGGGTACACAAACGCCCAGAGCTGGATCCCAAGACCAGCAGCAGACAGCAGCTCTCTCACGCGCAGTCGCGAAAAAGCCTTCGGTGCCTCGCTGCCCTCCCTCCTGTTCGCGGCCGAGCCTTTTGGACAAACCCCCACCCTCCCTCGCCGTAGCAAGCAAGCATCACGCCGGCAGGCGTTCTGGCCGCCTTCGGCCTCCAGAGGCCCTCGCCGGGCCCAGGGCCCCTCCACCAAACACAGAACAAATTGGTCCCAGGGAAAGGTCGGATATAGCCAGGACCCCAGGTAAGAGGATCCGGTTAGCAGTAGGGCCCCGGAGCCCCTAAATTGACCAGAATCACTAAACCAGGTCTGCCGTAGCTGGTGTTTTTCGGGTGACGGCAGTTCTGATGAGTGGAACGGGGCGGGGGGCCTCCCCCAGTATAAATCACTAAACCAGGTCTCACTAAACCCAGTTCTGCCAACGCGCGAAAAGGATCTAGACTTTTGGAGGTCGACGCTTTGAAAACGTCACGACGTCGGAGATCATGGATCAGCGACTGCACAGGAGCAGGGCATCTCGTTGCCTTCGCAGGACCACCTCAGGGCCGACGAGAGCGCCGCGAAAGAACATGTATGTGATGGTTTTCTGATCCATTGTTTTGCCGATCGGCACGGGCCCTCGCACCCCGCCCCCTCCCCCCCCATGGAGGAGATCTTGGCTGTTTTCGGCGCCTGTTTCGAGCAGGTGGAGTTTCCCCCAAAGGACGCACTGCTGCAAGCAATTGCATCAAGCAGAGGTCCCGAGCCAGACCCCCCCCTTTCCCCCCCTCCGCCCAATGTCGAAACGCCGAATTTGAAAACGTTCACTATGTGACATGATTCCGAGGGGCGGCACTAGCATGAAGTCGGGCATGTCCCTCTACAGGAGGAATATTCACAAATAGTCAAACATAGTCTGGGGACGATGTTTTTTTGCATTCGTTGGAGTATGTTTTACGTATGTTTTATTTTGGACCCACAATCTTTTGAAGGGGGACAGGCCCGACCTAACACCAGCAAGGAAGGCCGCCCCTCCATGGCTGTGGACTCTTGCAGCCACCCGGAAGACTGCCAGGCCCCAGCACGCAAGGGCGCGGTGGCAGTTGTCTTGGAGAAGCGTGGCATGTATGTTGCAGGCATGCGGCGATGCCGACGCTGTCCGAGTGCATTTATTCGAAAAAGAAAAAAACATATAAACATATTTGTGTTGGCGCTCCGCGCGGATTTCTTGGATCCGCGCCTGTGCCCCCCGGCGGCGCTTCCGGCGCCTCCCCTGGCGCGTTCCGCGCGCCACGCAGGGGCGTTAGCGAGAATCCAAGAAATCCGCTCGGAGCGCCAAAAGTTCATGTGTATGTGTGTTTTGCTATTATTAGTTAATTGTTCCGTATATCCACAGGATGGGGTTATTGTTATTATTCTGACCGTGCCGACTCCTCTCCCTCACACGCTTCCTCCTCCTCCTCCTCCTCCTCCTCCTCCTCCTCTTCCCAGGTGACGTGCGCTCCTCCTCCTCCTCCTCGCCCAGAGTCTCACTGCCTGGAGGGAAATGCTGGCTCGACACACGGCATCACCGCCCGAGGCCACGCCGCGGGGCTGAGATAAATTAGGTGTCAGTGTACAGGGCCGGACAAATCTGGAATGGGCTGCGAACGTGAGGTCTGTATATTTGGAGCCCTGCGTGGAGACCGAACGTCGTGGCAGTCCGCGTCGGAAGAAGGCTCCGGGGTCCGTCCGCGATCAGGGGACGGGTTTAGTGCAGGAGTCGCAGCGGGGCCCAGGCGTGGTTCCATGGTTGTAGAGGGTGTGGCTGGTACGTGTCCCGACGGGGCTGCTTGGGCAGGCGATGCAGACGGTTGTCATAATATCCGTGTCAATGTTGGTATGTGCCGCGTTGGCGGCTCCCCAGGCGTTGTGGATTTTCGGCCTGGGAATGGTGCAGAGCATAGTCGTTCGGCCATCGGTGCTGGAAAAACTACGCACCGCATCGGAGCGGCGCCTGAAGGAACTCCAGGCACGGTACGGTGCACGGGCCCCGTTCTCGTCATTTGCGGGTGGCAGCAGCCCAGCATGCGGAGGTTCGGCAGAACTAGGGCCCAGCAGTCGTAGATTTTCGGGTGGGCCTTGCTCGCACGTTCTCGAATCCTCCTCCTCCTCCTCCTCCTCCTCCTCCTTCTCCTTCTCCTCCTCACCTCCTCCTGTTCCTTCTCCTCCTCCTCCTCCTCCTCCTCCTCCTCCTCCTGGAGGCGGCGATGGACGAGACGAAGGCGGCAAAGTGTGACTCCGTTATCTTCGTCGGTGATTTCAACACGCGGCTTCATTGCCAGCGGGGGACACCATGGGGAAAGCACACGTGCGGATGACGGGGCAGAGAGGTCACTCGAACTCGGGATTGACGCATGTTTGACAGATGGTCGAGGCCGTCACAGAAATATGCAACGGATGTCGAACAGCAGTAGAGATTGCGGGTGCAAGCCAAAGATAGTGATATTTCGCAGTGCGGTTTCATATTATAGTTAAGTGGATTTGGGGCGCGGGGATGCACATCTCCACGATGTGCGATGCAGGTTTTTATCCACAGTGCTTCGCGGCACCACGTCTGGACATGCTGGTGTTTCACGGACCGGTCGAAGTTTGTTTGGTTCCCTTGGGGCGACGAGGGCCATGTTGAGGCCGTCTGACCCTGGACCCCCCCTCCTGGACCCCGCGCCCTACCCCCACTCGGAACCCCCCCTTCCTGGCGGAGAAGGGATCAAAGGGAAGGGGCGTCCCTTCGACTCCACAACGACGTTGCCCAATTTTGTTTTGGCTGGTGCGCGAAATGAGGAGGGTCCGGGGAGAAGGGGGGAGCGGCGACGGCGACGACAAAGGCGACGACAAAGGCGACGACGCCGACGGCTACGACGATGACGACGAGTCAGACGAAGCAGCCTCTCGCACACGCCGACAGGGTCGGCGGGTGTCTTATTGGTTGGCTGGCTCGCAATTCAATGAATTGGCTTGGTTCCTAAATTTTTGAATTGGCGATTGATTTGAGCTGTCTGCTGGCAGGCTGGCGGCGCGCGTTCTTTGCTTTTTTAATGATGTATAGATATATAGATATAGATGTGTATCTCTCTGTAAATACATATATCTATATATATATATATAGATATATCGGAGGTTGGGGGGTGAGATCGCAGTGGAACGGAGACCCCCAACCGGGAAATCGTTTCGTTTCGTTCGTGTCGTGCGTGCGGGCGAGGCGAAGCTGCGTGGGCGCGCGAGAGGAATGAACCCGCCGTTCCTATGGCGAAGTCAAGACAAAATGTTGCTCCCCCGTCCGTCCGTCCGTCCGTCCGGCGGTGGCCCTAACGGTGTCCCGCGGTGTCCCGTGGTGTCCCGTGGTTTCCGCCGTTGGTAGGGCGAAGTCAAGACAAATGTTTCGCTCCCGTCCGTCCGTCTGGCGGTGGCACGCGGTGTCCCGTGGTGTCCCGTGGTGTCCGCCGTTGCTAGGGCGAAGTCAAGACACATGATTCTCCCCCGCCGGCCCGTCCGTCCATCCGTCTGGCCGTGTCCCGTGGTGTCTTGTGGTGTCCCGTTGAGTGAGATCGATAGTGAGGTCGATACTGAGATCGATACTGAGATCGATGTGATGCGCCCAGGTGTCGCGTGGTGTCCCAAAAAGTGAGATCGATAGTGAGATCGATAGTGAGATCGACAGGTGTCCCGTGGTGTCTTGTTGAGTGAGATCGGTAGTGAGATCGATACTGAGATCGAGACTGAGATCGATGTGGTGCCCCGAGGTGTCCCGTGGTGTCCCAAAAAGTGAGATCGATAGTGAGATCGACAGGTGTCCCGTGGTGTCCCGTTGAGTGAGATCGATATTGAGATCGATAGTGAGATCGATGTGGTGTCCCGAGGGGTCTTATGGTGTCCCGTTGAATGAGATCGATAGTGAGATCGATATTGAGACCGATAGTGAGATCGAGAGGTGTCCCGCGGTTGCCCGTGGTGTCCCGTGGTGTCCCGTTGAGTGAGATCGATAGTGAGATCGACAAGTGTACCGTGGTGTCCCGTGGTGTCCCGTTGAGTGAGAGCGATAGTGAGGTCGATTGAGTCAGATGTTGGTTCTCCCCCTCCCCCCCCACACAAAACCTCCTTATCACCCGAAGGGTGGTCGGATAGGTAATTGTACCTATACGACCGCCCTGCGGGCGATAAGGAGGTTGGGGGAGGATTGAGATCAAATGCCCACTCTGACTGACCTTCAGCCTGTCACCTTGATCTCATCTCTCGCCCTCTCTCTCTCGCCCTCTCTCTCTCTCTCTCGCCCTCTCTCTCTCTCTCTCTCCCTTGGCCCGCCGCAGGCGCAGAAACAAATGAATTGATGGATATGGGTTGGATTGATTGGATTCGGTGGGATATGATGGGACAAGATGGGTTGGATAAGGTAAGATGGAATGTATTGGACAAGATGGATTGGATAAGCTAAGCTGGATTGTATAAGAAAGCCCGCCGCAGGCGCCGACAAAAATGAATTGATGGATTGGGTTGGGTGGATAGGATTGGATGGGATGAGATGGATTGGATAAGGTAAGATGGGTTGGATTGGAAGAAATGCATTGAATCTGATAAGATGGGTTGGATTGGCCCGCCGCATGCGCAGAAACACATGAATTGATTGATTTGCTTGGGTGGATTGGATTGGGAGGGATAAGATATGATGGGACAAGATGGGTTGGATAAGATCTGATGGACTAAATTGGACAAGGTCGATTGGATAAGATAAGCTGGATTGTATAAGAAAGCCGCCGCAGGCGCCGAAAACAAATATTTATGAAATTAGCGACATGCGTTAGCGCCGGGACGCTCGGGACACCCGGGACACCGCCCGGCCCAATTGGGACACTTCCCGGCCACAGGCGGACGGGAAACGGATTTTCGCTCCCATTGACACCCGGGACACCCGGGACACCGCCCGGCCCAATTGGGACACCGCCCGGCCACCGGCGGACGGGGAACAGATTTTCGCTCCTACTTCGGCCTAACTACAGGAGGATCGCGCGCAGCTTCGCCTGACCCGCACGCACGACACGAACACGAAACCGAAACCGATTTCCCGGTTGGGGGTCTCCCGTTTCACCGCGATCTCACCCCTCAATTAACTGATTCATTGTTTAATCAAGTAAATGTTTAATGATATAGTGGCAGCCTCGGGAGCGCGCTTCCTTTGTGAT